AAAAAAAAAAAAATTTGACAAATTCGAAATCAACGGTTCAATTTTGGGGATTAAATCGAAGAAAAGTTAAAGATAAATCATTATAATTCCACGGTATAATTTTTATTCTTCTCGAAAATAAAGTAATTAAAAAAAAATCATGATTAGAATATCGAAGATATTGAAATAGAGGATGAATAACAAAAGGGTGGTTGCTTACCAGGTTTCATCATCCATCAGAAGCTCTCGCCATACCAATTGACTTCTTCTCTCAAAGGAGGCTCTGTCGTAAAGATCTTGATAAAGTTTTAGATTGCACAGCATTGTACGTAGACATTGAGACGACGAGTAATAAGAATTTCTTCTCTCCATCTTCTTTTCTTCACTCAGTTCTTGCTCGTCGAACTCCAATATCGTACGCACGTTGATTAATTGTTTGGCGAATTCTCCGTGAGTCAGATTAACCAGGAAAGCGTCAGGAAATCGTTTAGTTCGTGTCACAACTTCGGTGCTACCTAGTTCATTTATAAGTTTCAAAACTTCGTTTCTACTAGCCTTGTCGTGGAATTTGCACGACATGATTTTAGACGTAACATAAGCTACTTGTATAAGAGGAGCAAATTCAATTTCTTCCAAAACAATGTGTACTACAAGCCAATTTTCGTAATGTCCAGGCATTCTGACAACAAAAAATGGAAAATTATTCGTAAATGGACGCGTAAAATATCGTAATAACGATGAAAAATTTTTACAAAATTTATCTCTAAAATGTATATATATATATAAAATTTATAAATTATTATTATTATAAATGAATTGTGACACGCTCGATAAATTTGATGAATTGCTTTTTAATGTTTTTAATGATAAATATATTCGTCAAACACCAAAATGATTAAATATCAGGGACTTACTTTGGAGACTTAAGAAATTTTAGAGACCACAATTTCAGCAATTTCCAATAGTACACTAACGAATCGAAGAGACATACGAATATAATATTGGATGTGCGAAATCACGTGACAGGTGAGCTATCCAAATATTATTTGTTTTTATTCCGTACTTTGTCATTGGTTTTTGTATCGTGAAATCGTTAAATCGTCGAAATTTTAATGACGTATATATGTTTATATTACGAGAGGTAACCGCGGTTCAAAATGGTTCTCCAACAATGGTGTAACGTATAAGAACGTTATGAAATCATTCATTTTCGAATAATTCGTTTCGAATTGATTAATTTTTGTACCTTCGATTAAGATTCTCCATTTTAAATTTGTCAAATTAATTGGAGATCATCGTAAATATTTATCGTGTATATATAGTTTTATGAAATGTAAAAAGTGATTTAGAGTACAAGAGTAGCCGCGAAATGAGCACCATCAATCGTGGTCGGTTAATTTGTATAGTTTGAATACAAAATTTGAATATGCAGATCCATCGTCTTAAAAGTATACTAAAATTAACAAACTCTAACACGGTTATTAAATTACAAATTAACAATTTATTCACATTCATAGAGTGTATATTTTATGATATTGAAATATTAAATATTAAAGTGCTCGTATAGGTAGATTATAAATTTATATAAATTATATTAAAAGTAATATTAAAGTTTTCTCAGATCGCACGATAAATATACAAATGCTTTTTTGTCAAAAGGTATAAAGATTGTAAAATAAACACCAGGGTTTCAGAAAATATCGTTTGAAATTTATTCGGTAAATGTAAGTAAGCAGATAATTTCACATTAAATTATGAAGGAATTGTTAATGTCACTAATTGCTGTATAATTAGTATTATGGTGCTTGTATTTCAGTCACTTACTCTAATTACATTTTAATTTCATTATGAATCTCTGTCTCGTGTTTAAATTGCTAGATAAAATCATATAACGAAAACGGGATTAATTTTGTTTATAAATTGTATTTTAGAATGTAACGGTTGATGTTTATGATATTTAAACTGTTATAAACATTTTGTGAAAAGAATACTAATTCGAATCATCATATTATATATCATACATGTGTATTATATTGAAATTTATGAATTTTATTTCAAATTAAGAAATAAGAATTAGAAATTTATACATATCATATTGTATTGTATTAAATTATATTAAAATTATGAAATACAATTAAAATTATACAAAATTTATCAATTTAATAAGCAACAAATTAAATTATTAATGTTTAAATAAAAAAAAATTCTATTTTTTAACAATACAATTATTTGTATTGAGATTTATAAATAGTTTTGTTAAACAATGACACTGCAAAACATTAATCAAATTGAATTTTTAAGAATAAAAAAATATCATAATTGTTTCATTATATTTTTAATCAAAGACAAAAGAATTTTTGTCATTACTTGTTCAGAATATAACAATTATTATTTCATTTAAAAAATATTAATTAGGAATTTGTTCTAGTCACTATTTATTTTTTTAATAAGAAGAATAATCTTTTGAAGGATTTTGTTGAATAATTTACTAATGAATTCATTTCACATTTTTTACCATTCTCTTTTTAGTATTTTAAAGCTAGTTTCGATTTTTCGATTTCTTTCATTTCATTGGTCCATATGTATTCTATAAAATTTAGGTCTATTCTCTTTTAACGTCAATATCCATCCAATTTATTAATTACAGTAAATAATTGATCTACCAAAAGAGAGTACAGTATATGGAGAATGTGAAATATTTAAAATCCATTTCTATATGAATATTAGGGTATATATAAAAATTTCCTTTTCAATATCAAAGCATTTATGAACAGTAAACTTAAAAGAGATCATCAGAAAATTATTAAAATCATAACTATAGACCTTTAACCTTTTATATATACAAAAATAATATCTTTCTTTTTGTGTGTTACATCCAGTTCTTAATCATTTTTTTCAACTTTGAAAATATTTAAATTTCCTAATTTTTAATAGATTTTGTCAAGACTTTTTTTTAAGTTTTTAGTCTAATTCATAATTGCTTCATATTTTAAGTTACAAAAATTTGATAAATGTTAAAAGACACGAAGGAATCTTATTTATTGTAATATTTAAAAAAAATATAAAGTATCAATATATCAATAAATTGAAAAAAGATATATAATTATAATATATTATCTTTATATATTAGAAATATATAAGCTATGAAAAACAGAAATGTTTTACAATTTTTAAAAATATACAACAATTTTATATATGGATTAAAAATTTCCATTTATAACTGCATTCTCAAAATTCCTACTCGACTACTATATATTTTATATCCTTAAACATCTTTTCCATTTGATATATATATACGTTTAAAGACTTCTTCTTCGTTATTGAACAAAATTCGAATTTTTCGATCAGGAAGTCGAGTTCAAAACAGCGAGCTGATTGCGTGACACGCTGGCGAGTTTTCGTTTATTCGGGACAAATTGACCTGTCCTTTCCGGTAGCTACGTTTAAATTGGAAAGCAATGGGTGGACAACGATGGTCAGGACGTTCTCCAGTTTTCATTTAACTCTTACGAATGGGCTGGTAGCAGGTTTTAAACTATGCGATAGTTATTCGGGGACTTTGAATTGTTTCATTTGTTTTAAATGCAAATTTAGAGTGTTTAGAAAGTTCCAATGATAAGAGTTTAATTGCTTTCGTTTTATTTTCTTTTTTTTTTTTTTTTTTTTATCAGAGATAAAGGTTTCGGAATTAAACGATGAGGTGATAACGACGATGTGTAATTGAGTTGGAAATTGTTTCCAGGGGAAGATCGTTGTTGAATTACGAGAGAGTTTCGTTTTTGAAAAAGTTTGAAGAAACTTTCTCGTTATATTTCTCTCCTCGTTAAACACACCATTCGTATTATGTATACACAATATTAATACAGAATGTTAATATATTCGCGAAATAACTTTCGATGATTCATTTTAACGTTCAAAACAAAACACAAATGTCGGTTATACATAAAGATATTCGTCTCACGATTTCAATCATTATTTGTTATTGTAACGTTATTTTCCTTTTTTTTTTCCTCTTAGAATTAACGATACGTTTAAATCTAATCAGACTTTATTCGAGGAATAATTGTTTTATTTATAATTTATATCATTTACATATAATAATACATATAATTAGTAAAAAGAAAAAAAATATTTTTAAATCGCAATAACAAGACACACTACAAATTATAAAAATATACTTATTAAATAACAATAAACTTTAAACTACAACATCTTTTACAATAAACTTTCTCTAAATTTATTTTTATTATTATAATTATTATTAATTTATAATTTATTATTATAAATTATTTTTCTTTCTTTCAACAAGAAAAGCACAGTGATTTTCACCTCAAATTATCCATCCCATCTAAGTCCATTCCCTAAATCGAGGCAATTTGAATTCTTCCTCTTCGAAAAAAAACCGAGAAAAAAAACTTGGAAAAAACTTTCGAAGCTCGACCGGTTCACACCGGTGAATTTGCGGCACCGATACAGGATTATAAGCGCTTCATGGAGTTTAGAGGGGCGGAAATGAAATCGGAAAATGAGCTGGTAACGATTCCGGGCGTGGGTGGTCGGAAGTAGAGGGGGTGGCCGATTTAGGCGACGTCGACGACGGGGGTGGTTATTAAATAGCTTGGCTATAAATTGCCGAGCAATTCGCCTTAACCACGCTCCCCCTCTCCCTCTCCCCCTTGCATCGGCTGAAACTTAGTCAATTTCCAGTAGCGTGAACGTTTACACGCGCCTCCGACATGTATTTACGCGGGTACGTGCGAATTCCGTGAATCGTGCTTTAATCCATCGGGGTGCAGATGCGTCTAAAGTGCACCATTCCTCGTTTCCTGTTCCTTTCTTACGTGCGTGGATCGATCGTTCAATGCTCGACACGCGATTCCACAGTAATGAAATCGCTCACGATATTTTTTTTTTTTCTGTTTCTTTTCTTTTTTTGGTAGATTTAGTTAATTGGTTTTTTGCTGAAACGATTGTACGATGGAGTAATAGATGTTTTTTTTAAATTAGAAGAGAGCATGTGTCTCCTTGAATGAGGATAGGGAAGGAATAATTGAGAATAGTTAGATTTTGGTATTATCTTGTGAATTCTTCGTGAAGAATATTAGTGTTTTGTGAAATTTTGTAGAATTTGTTAATAATAATATAGCGTTAACAGATTTTCATGTAAAATTATAGATTGACTCATGTCAAAACTTTGAAATATTTTTATATAAAATCTCGATCGACGTTTCTCGTAGACAAATTTTAGTTAGCTTGTGTTAAAATTTACATATTTCAGAATTTATTAATCTATTATTAATCCAATACGATGAACAAAATATTTTAAAAATAATGTGAATTAAAGATCAACAAGAATACGAATATTCATATTCGAAGCTTTAGAAATTTCTCACGTAATTTAATTATCTGCAGAAATAGAATAATTGTCGTTCTCTTATTCCATAATA